TCTTTTGCCCCCCCCCCTAAGAACTCGCGAACGGTATGTTGTATGACCACCAAATTTTCAGAGAATGTGTACTAGTGAAAATTTGTAATATCTACAATTTTTATGTCGTAATAATGTAATATGACGTCATTATGACGTCATTAATGTGATTTTATTGGCCAAAACCGTCTAAATAGGTTTTTCCCTGAAAACTAAATCGTACTCAACATAACTGTACCAAAAGTGTTTATGACAGAATATTATGGTGTACTAAGTCTTATGTTGCCCATAGCAACACCGGTGACGTCATAAACATGCATATTTAAGATATCCGCCATCTTGGATCATCAATCTTGAATTTTCAAAAATAGTTTCTTTTCATGATAAAGCCTAAAATACATCGTAAACATACTAAAGACCTTCATTTAAACCTTTTTTGGAAAAAGAAATGGAAGTATTGATGAAATTTTAATGAAAATAACCTGTATATACCTGTTCTAATGATATGGTCCGCCATCTTGGATTTTGGCCAATGACGTCATCAAATTAGCATAAATTATGCATATTTAATGATAAAATTTACATAAAATTATATGGGATGTTATTAGTATTAATAACCATGAGTAACTTGACATAAAACCCAATAAATTCTATTGTTGAAACAAAAAGTACTAAATTCAGCAAAAAATGCCTGTTAGAAACCCGTTGCCATGGCAACACAAAAATTATTATCTTATTCCAATGATACAAAATTGTTGCCAACAATATTCTAGGAAAAGTCACCAAGTTTGGCCGTTNTGTAGTTTTATATTAAATTACACTTCTTTTCCAAACATTAATAACATCTTACATATTTAAATATAAGTTAAATCATTTAATATGCATATAATATGCTAATTTGATGACGTCATTGGTCAAAATCCAATATGGCGGACTATATTATTAGCTCTGACGTCATATGACGTCATAATTACACCAAAGTTATTAAAATTTAATTCTATTACTACACCATTCTCTGAAAACTTGGTAGACATATGATGAGTGCATAAAAACATATAAAAACGGAAATAAGGTAATGTATAAGAACGCCAGTGTATCCATTATGATCGAAAGCCGGCTGGGGTCCGCGCGGACCCCAAAAGAAAATCAGATATAATTTTTTTATAAATAGTATAAACGGAGTTTTCTGCACTGTATTGAGAGACAACTTTGTGGGTGACAATTACCTAAAATTTCAGAAAAAAATATTTGGAAACAAAAAAGATATTACAGAATATATAGTGCTGGGGTGCGCGCGGACCCCAGGTGTACTGTTTAGGGTTACAGTGTTATTAAAGATAAAATTAGGATATAAAGGTCCGCGATTACATAATAGGTTTGTCGGTTGAGTATCTAATGAACATGAGATATTCATTGTATTTTTTTCATATTTGAAATTAAAATAGCCCATTAGAAATTCACGGCAGCCTTGCAAATTCATAAGGGCCTTTTGACTTTATTTAGACAATGCACGTGTGTTGAGAGCCACTAGGAAAGAGTATATGACGAGTCTGCGCTTGTATTAACATTCGTCCTTTTGTATGTTTCGTACTTATTTCTAACAGCAAATCAGTCTTTTGTATATTCGCTTATCTTTGCATTTATGTGTTATTGCCTTTAGAATATATTGAAATCTGTCTGAATCATCGATATCTTAAAATGTGTCGTACTTGATTAGACAGTAACTCGCACCAATTGAAACTATAGCTCGCATGCCTGCGCAACCATACATTTAGGCGCAATAATCATTCAAATCAAAGACTGCACCTCGAAAACTGACGACCAGACTTCAATCACGATGGTGTTAACCTCAACGACGTTCTCTACTTCTGGCTCAGCTGTCCAGTGGCTTGTTGGTTTGCCTGTTGGTGAGGGTTTGGTAGAGGTGACAATTGGCTCTGGCGGATCCGTCACAGCGATTGGAGGGGGTGCTGTGGAAGGTGAAGTAGATTGCTTGATGGAATATCTCCAGTTGGAAGAAAAATATTGGACATGGTACAATGTATGGCAACATAGTACTATACTATATAGAGGTATAGCAAAAGATTTAGATTAAATCAATTCTTCGTTTTAATTGCTTATAAAAATGTGTAAAACCTTTAGTCATGGGCTATAATAAACATTCCTATTTCTGTGCAAGAATTGTCGGGTAAAGATATGGTGAGTGATTTACCAGTTGGGTGAGTTATTGCTACTGTGTTATCAGCTTCAGCCATTGTTGTGGTCTTGAATGGGTTGCTGGGGGCAAATGGTTTGGTTTTGGTTGTAGCTGGAGAGGTTGTAGGGCGATTGGTTATGGGTGATGAAGTTCGGGTTGTAGTTGGAAATGACGTAGTGTGGTCAGCTGTGCTGCTTAGAAGTGTTGTGCTGCCTGTGGTCACCTGCTGAGTTGTCGTTACTATGAGTTAAAAGAAAGAACGTCCATATCAATGATAAAAAGACATTAAATTGTTGGACAAGGCATACGATATAAGAGCAATTATTCGCAATCTTTCTTCAGCTACTGACGAGGGTAGACTCAAGCAACAATGTCCCGATCTCAGTTTAAACGTATGAGAAGTTATAAGACATATACAAACAACCTGATAGAAGGAATTTCGTTTTCGACATATTCATATTCGCCTGGGGTCAGTTTCCACCCCATACGGTGGTTTAAGAGTAAAGAATGGGGAGAGGGCCCTTATGTGTAGAGCTTCGTTAACCCCACGCTTCAACCATCTGCTCTATCTATGAAAGATTGCATTGCAAAATTGTTTAAAAGAGAGGTGAAAATATTAGTTTTGTAAGTCAAAACGTGAAATGTGTATTCACAATCACCTGGCAAACAAATCCCGTTGACTTCCACCGCATCATCTTTGCATTGGCAGTGGAAAGAACCAGGGTCGTTCACACACCGCTCGTGCTCAGTGCAGTTGTGGTATCCCTCAGAGCATTCGTCGATTTCTAGTAAAGAAAAAAATAATTTTTGATAACGGTAAGAGAGCATTACTAAGTTTAAAAAGCTACTAAATGGGAACGATAGATTTTTCATAGAATTTTCACACACCTGCACTTTACATGCAAACATACCAGGTTTAGGTGTAGGTAAAACATTTGTGAAAAGACAGATAATTTCTGTTTTACTCTGAAGAGCAAGATGCTGTATATAACCTTACATGTTAAGAAGAACAATGTTAATAGCCGGTGCCAAAAGCTGTTGACATTATCTAAACAGAGACCATGCCAACAACACATGCTATCCGTTAATCAAACAAACGTGCCTCAAAGTATCCAATGCAATTTCAGGGCAGCAAATTTGAATTTTTAACGTTGATTTTCTAGTCATCCTTTTAATGGCGAAATAAATTGAATCAACCCAATCCAACAGCATACTGATATCTACGATTGCTTTTTTTGTATCATGGGCGGAATCTAGATATTGATGGGTAGTACACTGAAAATAAGGAGTCGCCTCAAGTAGTTTATTTCTACAGCTTAAAGTATAAATGATACATAATATTCGCTAAGAAATGGCAGTAAATTAGACAGAATACCTCATCCAGAATTTTTGGTAATGTAGTAAGTGGTAATGTAAACTTGCACCTATCACACATTAACGAATATGGTTCTAGCCGAATGTTTCCAAATGTTAAATCTGGTCAGAGTGCTCCTGGACACCAGCTGTCCTGTTTGACTAGTGGTCCGGGACAAATTCGTGGGAAGTTCGTGAATGTGTGACAGGGATTTACCTAGGCATGTCACGCCATAGTTCTCTATTGTGTAGTATCCGTCCCTGCAGTAACAACTGTAGCCGCCGGCCGTGTTGTTACACAACTGTTCGCAGTGGTGACTACCGCTTAAACACTCGTCCTCGTCTGGCAGAAAATAGAGCATTAAAGGCTGTTAAAGATAGGATTTTTTTCGAAAAACAGTATTGCAAGTTTGAAAGACACTCTAATATTTCAGTTCATACACACAACATAATATTATATAACATATACATAACGCTGATATGTTATGATACATAACGCTCACATAGCATTTTAGTCATTAAGGGCACAACATTTCTTACGCAGGAAAGGGTTTGACACATTATATAACATGAATTTAAATTGTTGACAAGATCATTATTCTATCACTACTGGTCCAATGCCTTTTTTGACGTTATAATTACCTTCGCCAAGAAGGTTATGTTTTCAGGGGCGTTCGTGTATGTGTGTGTGTGTGTGTGTGTGTCTGTCAACACGATAACTTGAGAAGGCCTTGATGGATTGTCTTGATACTTGGTAGGTGGGTAGGTCTTGATGAGACCTCAAAATGATTAGATTTTGGACCCCCTAGCGGCTTGTTATGGTACTGCAGATGAACTTCCGGTTTTGATATCTCATGATCTAGACATGCTATGGTGATGAAATTTAGATGGTAGGTAGCTCTTGTGCTGGGGAAGAAGTGATGTGAGTTTAGGCCCCCTAGCGGCTTGCTCTGGAACTGCAGCGATATATTCTTGAAAATATTCAAAAGGGATGACTCAAGAACCGGTTGACGGATCGTCGTGATTTTTGGTATGTAGGTAGCTTACGTGATCCTTCATATAATTATGTGACAATTATGCAAATATGGATATAATTTGCATAATTTATGGG